CTCCGCATCCCTGCACCCGGGTCCCTAGAAGACGACCAAACCCTGTATTAAAAAACATCTCTAAACTCTAGAACTATTTCTAGGCTTATAATAGAATTCTGATAGAACTCTTGTACCATCTGTAAGTAGATCTTCACTAGGATCTACATATTTCTAGAACCTGTGTAGAACACTCATAAAATCTATACAAGCACTGGTAATTCAGAGGGCTGAACAATTCGTAATCACATCCCCTTATGATACCCTCATACTTCCGAAATTGCACTGTCACGTATGCCTAAGTCCTGTTCGATTTCTTCAAGGAAACTATATTCCACCCTCAGGACCGAGTAGGTACATGAGAGTCTGTAGAGGAACCACTATGAAAGCCTTAAACTTTTGAACTTTTACAAGTACCTATAAGTAGATGCCATGAAAACCCTAAACCCTAAACCCTAAACCCCACAGACACAACCCTAAACCCTCTAGCTTATAGACCCTAACCCCACCCTCCATGACCCCTCAGCGGCCTGAGGTGGCGGCAACGTTGCTGAGGATGCGCAGCTTCCACAAGTTCTCTGGATCCTGCGCCTCCGTCTCTTTCAGGTCCCCTAATGTAGGGGCCTTGATAATTGCAATAGGGTTTTAGGGGTTCCTTCTTTTTAATTATAAACAGTATAATATACCCCCAAAACCCTATTCTAATTGTTAAGGCCCCTATGTTAAACTCTAAACCCTAAACCCTAAACCGCCGTTGAGGGTTCCTTCAGAGGCCTCTTCAGGGCAAGGGCTTTCGAAGGGTTGTATCAGGGTTTCCTTCCAGATTTCCTTTTGGGGGATCGTTCTCAAGGGATTTTTGGGCACCAGGGCTCCATCAGGATATCTTTAAGGGCTCCGCGAAGAGTTCTTGCAAGAGCTCCTGTATGGGTTCTTATAACCCTATGGGTCCAAGTACCTAATCATCATATACTCTCAAATAGTAACCTACATAACTTCTATCCGAAACCTAAGTGCCTGATTATTGGGTCCTTTGGACCCTTGGGGTAAGGTTTCCGGTACAGTTTCTCGGAAGGGCTCGGGTTCTAGAGGAGGCTTGGTCTATGAAGGCTCTACCCATAGCCCCCATAGTCGTTCCTGTTTTGGATTCATATTCAGAATCCTATTAGGTAATCCCCAAAAGGAGCTACTATGGGGCGTATGGGTATAAGTGACCACTGCGCAGTGTCTAAGATCTATAGGGTTCTGGGCCGGGGCGTTAATGCAGGTCTCTCTCTACGGGTTCTAGTGTACCTCTCTGTTTGCCCAGTCCTTTTTCAAGGATGCTTCCGCATTTAGGTTGCAGTGGTCTAGAGTTTGGAGGTCTAGGGCAATTTAGGGCTTCAGGGGATTACTGGGTCCGCCGCCTACTTTCCAAGCATGCTCCCTCCGCTGAGCAGTTTTCCTACGATGCAGCAGTGACCCATGCTGCACAGGTCAGCGAACAAGGACAAACTTCTCTTGCCTTGCCCTCAGCACGTCGAGTGCCACTGCTGTTGTCAAGACCCGGTTCTGTGCGTGTACGACCAGACCAGTGTTTCGCGATCTGCTGCAGAAGTTGCCTCGTGAAATTGCTTGTGGGCAATTGAGGCACTTCGCCAAAAGGGCCTTCAGGGCAGAGGCCCCCAGAGTGTTTAAAGTACCGAGTTTCTGCTTCCTTTGGTTGCAAAACCCTAAGTTCACTGATGAGGAGATCAAGAGGCTGAAGGTGAAGTAGAGGAGGGTGTTGGTGTATTGGGGTTCTGGCTACATGAGGCAACTCTACAAGGAATACTTTATGCTTGTAAAAGAAGGTTCACAAACGTCTCGATAAGGATTACTATCAAGGGCTCCATAAGAAGGTCTCAAAAAAAAGTGGTACCCACCGAAATCTAAAAAATACCACCGACCAAGATCTAGAACTGCCAGGCTTCAGGGTAAGATAGTGGCGCTCATAATCAGAAGAGGGCTCAGGGTTTAGGGTTCTGGGGTTTAGGGTTTAGGGTTTTAGGGTTTAGGGTTTAGGGTTTTAGGGTTTAGGGTTTAGGGTTTTGGGTTTTGTGGTAGCCCGGGCCGTGGACTCCCTCAACCCTGCATAAAATCCTGAGCTCCCAATAGAGGGGGCCTCAATGATTAGAATAGGGTTTTATAGGGCTCCTTTAAACGGGTCCCTTAAGGGGTTCTATAAGGGCTGCTATAAGGGCTTAAGGTATAGGGGCCGTAATAATTAGAGCTCTATTTTCTGTTGGAGGGGGGGCCTTGTTATAGTTGTAGTATCGTGTACCAAGGCTCAGGGTTTCTGGCTGTCGGGGTTTGCTAAGTCAGCAGAGCAAATTCTTGAAGGGGCCTTAATAGTTAGAATATATATATATATATATTTGGGGGGAGCTCCTTACTGTGGTTCTAGTATCATACACCCTGTTCTTGTCTTATATATATATATATATATATATGACCTCCTTTCGCTCTCAGAAGGGCTCCCATTGCTGCTGCTGCTGCTAGCACTACTATTAAAACCCTCAACTCCTGAAACCAAAACCACACCGCAAACTTAAACTCCCTAAACCCTAAAAAACCTAAACCCTAAACTCCCAAATCCCAAACAATGCTGCATCGAAACACTCAGATCCCTGCGAGTGTTCCCAGGGCCGCAAGTCCATAAGGCAGCCCATCTTTGCCTTTTTGCGGGTTTAGGGTTTAGGGTGTCTGTGCCCGTGTGCTTTCGTGTCTATGGATCCACAGGAGTGGATTACATGTGTTTTGCGGGAGGTGCGAGGTGTTGTTGACGCTTTGAGGTTCTAGGATTTCAGGTTTTGACCGTCCTGCCTTGGTCATTAGGATTTCAGGGGCTGTAAGATGAGTGTCCAAATGATTGGGGATTGGGTCTTTGGGCCCTGCTGGAACCGGAGCCACAAGCACAACAAACACGAATGGGGGAGGACTACTGCACAATTCGCCAGACGACACTAAGTCTAAATCCTTGCAGACAAAAACCTATTGCAATCCAAGCCAAAGCATCGCAAGCCGAGAGGTGTGAAAGGCGAACACTGACGAGGAATAACGGTTATTGTGATGCTCCCTGTGCGTACTTGTGTGTGTGTGTGTGAGTGAGTGTGCGTCTGCCTGTTTTTGTCCGTGTGTGCGCGTGCGTGCATGCTCTTGTGCGTGTTCACGTCTTCGTCTCTGTCTGTCAGGTCGTCGGAGCCCGTCCACCCTTCGTGCCAGGTCGGATGGTGGATACCAGGACTGTGTTTTTAGTGCTCGCTTTGCATCTTCGCTGATAGGAAAGCACAACTCCTCCGGCGTGGAGATGCGGTTTGTGTGCTTGCTCATGTGGCAGTACGACTTCTGATTTCCCAATGCTGACGCCCCTTAGAAAAGCGGTATGTCGAGACCACAGCACCCCTACTAGGAGCCTTTGTAGTGCGGCCCTGCCAGGACTTGGGCACGGAGTGGGTTGGACGGCGAGCACGAGACTCCGGAGAGAGCGAGACTCATCAAGGTGGGCAGCGCCGAAACAATTAGGTTTTTGTGTACAATAGACTGGATGCACCCAGCGGACGGGGCCCGAGTCCTGTGGAAAGGACGCGATTTTGACCAAAACTGTGCACCACGCCGTGGAATCGCTTGAACTACGCTGAACGTAAGAACCCCGCAGGTCATGGTATTACTGCGCATTTTATTGGGGACAGAAGAGGAACCCCAAGACCGCCCACCTGACATCGTCGACAGCAGCCAGGCACCCAACCTGAACAGATGCAGCAGCGGGGAGACTTGCATTGCAGTAGTTGGGATATGGATATTGTCGCAAGGGGGTTTCGCAGTCAGAATCAGGCTACCCATAAGGCCCTACAGTAGTTCCTTTTTGGGAATACCTTATAGGATTCTAAATATGAACCCACAAAAGGAACTACTATGGGGCCTATGGGTAGAGTAGAGTCCTTGCCCTATACCCTAAACCCTAAACCCTAAACCCTAAACCCTAAAGGTGTGAGGTGTATCTCTGAAGAAAACCGACTTCATGCTCGGGGTTTTTCAACCCAAGACTCGCTCCAACCCTGAACCCTCACCCTTTGACCCCCCTAAAACTCGAAGTTTTCGGTTTAAGGTTTAGGGTTTAGGCCTCGAATATTGTTTTTCGGGATTCTTGTTCAAGATTCTTGGCTTGGGAACGGGGGAGAAGCAAGGAGGTGTAGGGCTCTCTTCGTTCGTATCGGGTGCCTGAGAAGCCACCATGAGAACCTACCCGGATCACCTGGCTTCCCGTCTTCAGGCACCGTGTTTCGGATTGAGAGTTAAGGGTGTAGGTTTAAACCACGAATCTCTAATCATGCACGCTGACTCTCAAAGGTCCTAAGAGCCACCAACCAAGTCTCAAATGAATGCCCCTAAACCCTAAACCGTAAACCCTAAACCCTAAACCCCTTTCTAGGACCAGTCGGTGGCCGGGTACAGAAGCTCTCATGGCTTCAAGGCTTCTCGGGCTATGGGCTCCTAGGGGTACCTGGCTCAGGGGCTCAATGAGTTCTATGCTTGCAACATTGCAGCACAACCCCGTAACATGAACTTCCTATGTGTATCATATATAAATAAATATAAATATAAATATAAATATAAATATAAATATAAATATAAATATAAATATAAATATAAATATAACTATAAATATAACTATAAATATAACTATAAATATAAATATAAATATAAATAAATAAATAAATATATATATATATATGTATACACATGGTCTCGATGGCCGAAACTTGAAAAACAAGCACGCAGAAGGCCTAACACAAAGAGCGGCAACTCTCATCCAATGCTCTTACGGGACACCCCTCGCCCCCCAGTCTCGGCTCCAAAGACACGACATGCACTTCCAAACCATATGTGCAAAGGTTTAGGGTTTAGGGTTTAGGGTTTAGGGTTTAGGGGTACCTATAGAGGGAAGGGTTTAAGACCAGATATATGGCTAGATCTCTAAACTAGGGTCCCTTTTTGGGTCCCCATTATATTCTAGCATAGCACCTGCTCTCTGCACCAAATGTGCCCAAGTTCACGGTCACACGAAAGTAGCTGCAGCAGTCCATCGTAGCCTGCATCAAGCGTTTGCACTGCCTTTGCTCATGCAGTGCTCCTTTGGCCTATGTCTAGAAAAAGCATTCAACCCAATGTCAAATGTGTCGCCTTTACCGGTCCGTAGGCAAACAACTTGGAAGCCATCGGCTGCGAAATGCACACGAACACCCGGAGGTTGTAGAGGAGCTGCATCAAATCACCAATAATGACCTGGGATATGAGAAGCCAATGCTGGCTTCACAAACATCTCCGCGGGCAACACTGCTCACATGCACAACTACCCCTTCACTTACACAGATGGCAGAAAAACCGAGCATCTGCAAGGCTGTCTCCCAAGTAAAGGTCGGCCCTGCATTGGTCTCCATCATGTCGTAGCCTCAGCTTAGACGACCGGCTTCGGTAGAATAAAACAGCCGAACAATGCAAAGCAACATCGTGAGCAAGGGCAAATATGCGTGAGAAATAAGCCCTGCTCCGAAAAAAACTTTTGAAAGCGAACAAGCAACCAGCCCTTCCATGTTGGCGAAAGCCAGCATGTGCCACCCTCGCGAAGGCGACAAAGCATCCTGATGCCTCAATCACCCAAGCGAGTACAGCTGTACATTAATCCGTCTGTTTCTGTCTTGCAAGACAGGACATACCACCAACTGCCCATTTCAGCAAGTCACATGCAGCCAGTGTCGCTCTGCGGCCGATGTAATTCTCCGAGCTCGGCGAGGTATCAGCACAGAGCTTCACGAAGCCGATCTGGCAAGATCCCCGCGGCTGCTAGCAGAAGCACAACAACACTTGTCGAACGGATCGTTCGTGCTGACACACAATCAAAGACAGCTTCAGTACAGATGGCCATTTGCAAGCAAGGTGCATCACTCAAGTCGCCCCACAGCATCTGCTGTCCGACTTCAGCAAACTGCAGGTCGCGAAGCGGTGGCTGGGGCACTGCTGCCTGCACCAGCTCCGCAAAATCGGAGCTCAAGCCGCGGAGCCAGTCAGCCATGGCCACGAAAGATTTCGAATGACAAAACACTTGAGCAGTAGCCCCAGCCACCAAGCAGAATCATCAATCCAAGCAGCATCATGGTTCAAGCAGAATGTGTTCGGACTGCTATGA